GTTCCTATCCAGGATGCTCAATAAATATTCACTGGTGGATTGCTGATAGATGCCCTTGACTATTTCAAATGGATTAGCATTGCTTGTCTTGATGGCCATATGGAACTTCCATCCAATATGACCACTGCCCTTCCTGCAGTCCAGAAGTGACCTGGAATCACATTTGGTCTTTTTAGTTTTGACTAACATTGACTTGCAACATCTTTGAAGCCCAAGGCTTGCTTAACTCCTCATTAGGCACCTTGTTTAAATATGAGAGGATCCTAAATCTGATGAGAAAAGCTCATCAGATTACTTTTCTTTTTTCAACAGACCTTGAAGGAGCATGGGTTTATCTAGAATCTTCTTCTAGTTTTCTCACTCTGTAGGCTTCCTCTCCTTCCACTGTGAAAAACAGACTCTGGGGTAAGAGAGCATTTAAAACAAAAAGTTTAATAAGGCCCATGAGGAATATGGTACTTTTCTTAGTCCTGGAGAGGGAAATATAGTCTCAGGAGAGAGAGTAGGAGGAAACAAACCTTGGCCAGAAAGGCCGCCTCTTTTCATTCTGTCTAAAGAGTCCTGTAAGTAGAATTCCAATGAGGATGATGATCCTGGAAAAACTTGTTTCTAAGACAGTTTTAACTGCCCTCTTGGGAAGAAGCCAAAGGGTAGGAATCACTTTGAACTAGGCTTTTGTGTCTCTAATTTCAGCTTGTATATTTTTCAGATTTTTATTTTTGTCATGGCTGGAGATCAAACTCAGGACTTTGCACATTCAACTTTTAAAAACTGAACACAAACGTAGTGAAAATTCAGCTAGAATGTGTTGAGAAACATTTAAAAAGTAAAATATGAAGTCCCATCATGTGACACCATTCTATGCATATCACGTAAATCCTTTGATATTTTCCCAAGAAAATATGCATGTACATAGATTTAAAAAATATTAGTCATACTAATTGCTGTACCATCTGTGCTTAGTTTTTGTTTTTTAAATACTACCTTTAATTGCTGTCAATATGTGTAGATAGATATACATATATATTCGCAATAGCTTTATGTATTTGATTTTAGCAAATGTTTCATACTATTTGTATGACATTTTTTCAGTACTGGATCTGAACAAAGTGGCAGTCAAGAACACTTACTATTTTTCCCAATCTTATTTTTATATTGGGACTCAAAGTTTCTGGGATGCAATATTAAATTAATATTTTGGGCAAAGATTTCTGGCTTTTGGCCCAATACATTTTTTAATGTAACCCAAATATCATTACATATTACTGAAGACCATCATCACTCATAAATTTGGGTAAAGCCCTCATTCTCTAGTGCAACAGTTAAATGTCGTCCCTACAACTTCTCCATCTTCCTTTTGCTATCTTCTGTTTGTTTGGTTTTTTTTGTAGCTAACATAAAGATAACATTTATTATCACAAGTTGTGTAAAAACACACAGCTTTTACAAAAATGATTTTTGTTAGAAAAATATTTGTTCAACTACATCATATTTGTGGGAAACAGCACACTATTGCCATACCTCCAGCTAAAGCTTAAAAGAAACTAATTTTCGTAATCAACATATTCACTATTTACCACAACCTGTCTTTGGAAAGGAGTTCATAGTGTGTTGTGAACAGACCAAAGCATTTACTCCTATAACTTACATTCCCGTGCCTGGTGGTCATTTGTGTGTAACAAGGTACACATGGTAACAGTCACAGGATGGTAGTGCTGGGGGCGACCTTGTCAATCAATTAGTCTACACCTTCCTTGTATAGAGGGGGAAGGTAAGTTGAGGGGGCCAGGAGTGTCCTCACCTGAACCTCACTCAGGTTCTTCACATAATTCATGAAGTTGTTACAAAGGCTTACAAAGAAAACTTAATGACTTCACTGCCACCTATCCCTCTGTGCTGACATTATTATTTTGGGTTATTCAGATAAGGAAGAAATATTAAATGCTACTGAAATGGTATGAAAACACATTGTCAAAGGCACTTGGGGCACACATTGGCTCCATTCCCACAGTGCCCCAAGTGACTCAAGGAAGTGCTAAAAACATCAAGCCTTTCCCCACTAGTTTTCCTGGGTAAACTGATAATAAGGACGGAGCACTGATCTGTTTCTGTTTTTGATCCCATAAATCTACAGGATCAGTGTGGCATATTAATTTGAGTTTGTATGTAAAGCTGAACAAAGAGTTCTGCCCTTCACTGCCCTAAGCAGTGTAGTGCCCATTGGTGCTTTCTGATGCTTACCAGGAGACTCAAGACGCCATGAGAAGAATCCCATCATGTACTGTCCAGTACTTCCACAAGCTTCTTTGCCAACATCTCCCAAAACCCATTTTCCAGAAAAAAGCAACTTCCCCACTGCATGTTCATTCTACCATGAACCTCAAAGCCCTGCCCCCCAACTCCCACTGTTTCTTTAGTTGGGGAGAAGTTCCAGATAGCCAGACTGTCCTGTGTGGGGGTCTCCAGAATTCTGGTAAACAAGAATGGCACAGGAATATAGATGTTTATTCATTTTGATTGATTTGGATGCAATTGGCTACAGTTTGATAATATCACTCAAATGTACTTACTCATTTAACATAGAGTTGTGGACATTTTCAGGAAGAACTAGTCTAAAAAGATGAATTCTAGTTCCCTCTGTTCATAGTACAAAGAAATCAAGGCTTAGAGAGTGAATATTTCCAGGCTCATTGGTATCCCTAGGGCCAGAGCCTTGGCCCATCTCCCAGGTTCCTGCCCCCTGATTTCAGGGCTTTGCGTCATGAAACCAAATCTGGAACCCTTTCTGCACCACAGAGAAAGCAGGGCATCACCTCCACATCCTGACCCAATCCTCCAGTTAGAAGGATTCAAGACCAGAGGACATACAAGGAAAAGCAGGCTTTGGCTCTAAAGCATCCACACTTTAAAAAAAAAAAAAAATGAAAGGAGACAAGCTTTTAAACAACAGAGAAAAGAGTGAACAATTAAGGTTCAAACCAAGAAGTGTAACATAATTGCTGTGTCTTCTGATTGTCTCATAAATTTGTCTAATCCTTTGTGGCCAGAAAGATGACCTCCATTTGGGGGCCTTGAGATTCAAGATTTGAAGATTTGTTCCAGGAGTTGCCCTCTGACTTTTGTCCAATCCTTGGGAATTACTATAAACTCTTTGTGAACTGACCCCCTTCTGTAAAGGGAGATAATATTACTTGCTTTCCTGCAATGTCTTTTAAAAGCCCACAGGATGCTGAGGGGGTTTTAGTCTAGAGGGAAAAATTTGTTTTGCCTTTTTACCAACATTTAGGTAATTAACTGAGATAAGCAATGTTATTAAATTCTCTTGTGTGAGCATTTTAGTGCTTTTCAGTTTAATAACATGTAAATACCCAAAGAATGTTGTATTCTTAACCTTTAAAATTCTTTGTTTCATTTTGGGAAATTGTAGATCACATTTTATAGGAAAAACTTCCCTGTTAAAATAAAATTTGAAATTCTAGACGCATTTGGCTATCCCCTCTGAAATGTTCCTGGAACCTCTCTTTCTTCTGTAAGCAGATAGCATAAAGTACAGTTCTTCCTGGCTACTGATATCTAGTCCTATGCATTAACTTATTATTAAGTCAATGCACTGATGACTCCTTATTCTACAGCATCCATCTACTGATCTCTACAGTGAGCCTTATGATGATATTCTACCTACTTGCTAGTTTCCATTTGAGAATTCTATAGACAATGCCATCTGCAAATGTTCTAAATTGAATTCATCATTCATTATCTTGCCTTTCCCCCCTACCAACTACCCTTCTGTCCCAGTTAATCATTCAATCCTAACATTCATTCTAGTTCATTCTCTTTCACTCAGCATTTTCAATCAATTGGGAAGCCTTATTAATATATCTAAAGTTTTTCCTCTGCTTCTTCCCCACATTACTATCCTAGTTGTTTTATGATCTCTCATTGGAATAATTGCTACTTATTAATTCAACAAATATTTGTTAAGGGTATTTTGTATGCCAGGTACTAGTCTAGGAACTTGGGGTACAGTTAGTAAACCAAATACACAAAGATCACTGTTCTCACAAAGGTTACATTACACTGAGAGAGGGGGAAGGCAGACAATAAAATCGAATAAATGGATAAATTACATTGTGATCACTGTGGAAGAAAGAAAGGCAGGGCATAGATACTGGGAGAGATTGGAATGAAGAGGCAGTCATTTGCCATTTTGAACAGGGTGATTAGAGTGAGCCCCTTTGAGAAGATAACATCAAGACGTGAAAGTGGCAAACCACGGAATCACCAGAAAGGGACATTCCAGACATGAAGAAAAAGCCTTAAAAAGGGAGCATAGTTGGTGTGTTCAAAAAACAGCAAAAGAAACAGTCCATCTTTCGAAGAGGCAAACTTGATCCCGGAATACTTTGCTTGAAACTTTTGGCAGCTCCCTTACCCAAGCTTCTTCATTTAAAACAGGAAGCTTTTTGCCACGTGACCCTGCCTAACTCCATCCTCTCTTCCCACTTCTCTATCTTCTAACTAATTGCACATATGGGTGTGCATGCCCCAGGCTAGATCATGATTTTGTGTCTTAGATCATGCTGTTTTGTGTCTTATTTCGTTGCTTGTGTCTTAACATGTCCCTAAACCCTTCGTATTTTCTGATTTACCTGATTGTTAGGAGCTCAATTTCTAGTCCAATCTCAAACACAGTTTTTTTCTAGAAGGTGGATGGAATCCCTCTTGTGTGTGCCCACCCTTCCAGTGCACACCCCATTGTAACATCATCACACCAAGCTAATGTGCATTTGTCTCTGGTAACTGAATGTGAACTCCTGTCTCCCTGCCCTGCAAATTCCTAGCACATTACCAGTTATATAAAGTAATCAGGGTTCTGTAAATGTTTGCTGTTCTGTTTTCAAAACTCAGGCTGGGTCTTCATAAGTCTAAATTAAGGCAAATATCTCTGCAGTCTGCAAGTCTCCAGGCCACATTTCAGGATGCAGCATTACCTTTTATCACTGACAACTGAAAGAAATCAGTGGTCCTGGTCGCTAATGACTTGTCTGTCTCGTTTCAGGTTTTCTGCATTGGTTCTGCCAGCCTGGGCCCCAGTGGCCCCTCTGCCCCATGGATGTTCTGTGATGAGTCATTCACGCCTTACAACACTTCTCTCCTGAGCATAAGAAAGCAGAAACACAACCAGCATATCCTCCTGGTGTCCTGGTTGCTGTCCTGTGTGGGGTTGGTGTGGCAGTGAGCATCATAGCTTACAGCAATGGCCAAGGGACTTATCATAGCAGAAGTTGTAGGCTCTGTTTTTGTGGACAAAGTCTGAGAAAGCAGATGGGGCTGTTTTGTTCAGCTTTCTATTCAAAGCAAATCAGGGACAGAATAAAAAGAGGATTGGACACTAATGCTAACAGAACAGAGCAGGTGTAGAAAGCATCAAGCTGAGCTTTTGAGGAGGGGAAAATGAAATGAGAATCTGAACCAGGGATTTCCCCCACAGTGAAATAAAGACCCCAATGCTGCATTACGCCATTAGCTCTCACTGCAGAGGTTCTGGGACCACAGCCAGGTGCACTGAGATGCAGCCCAGGCAGCTGGACAGTGCCAAGACCATTTTCTGGGAGACAACAGCACACCAGCCGTCGCCACGGAGTCTTGAGCAAGTGCTCAGGAGAGTCGCAGCCTAGTGGGCGTCCCATGTTCCTTGGCAACCTCACGTTTTGCTGAAGGGTTGGGGCAGGAGAGCTAGCGGAGAAGAGTTGGCAAAGGCAAGGTGTCTGGGGCTTTAAAAAATCTCAAATGCCCCGTGCCTTTCTAAGTCTTCAGTAAATTACCTTTTATTAGCTTTGTTAAGCTTTGGCAGCCTGAATTTGTCTCTTCACAAGTCAGCCATCTGTTCCCTCCTGTCTATAATTCTGACCACAAGAAAGCAAAAAGGTTTGCTTTCAGCAGAAGATTGTTCTTTCCTTTGAAAATAATGGGAAAGGGAAAGGAGAGGGAGAAATGAATGAGAATGAGAGTTTCAGAGACAGTCGCCATAAGACAGCTGGTATTTCAGGTACAGGATCCTACAAGGCATTGTGAATTTCTTGGCGCAGTGTAGAACAATAAATAACTATGGATTAAGCCACTTTTACACGCAAGGGAGGAGGCTAAGTGTGTGAAAGGAAAATAATTTTAAGGAATAGTTGCTACATTCAGGGAAAATAGTAGAAATTTAAATAACAGCTTCAGAGAAAAAGCAGCTCAAGAAATTTTACAAAACAAATGTCTGGTATAGGCCAGAAGTTCCATAGTCACTGGAAATGCAGCAAAGTCCCATGAGCTGTAGAGTTTCAAGGCAGGGAAAGCAAAGTTAGTAAAACAGACCCACTTGATGCACAGAAGCACCACATTCATCTTTCTACCCAGAAAGAAATCCTTCACATGGGAGACAACTTTAAAAAAATTTTTTTTTTTATAACAAGCATCCCTTACTTCACAAATTAACTGTTTTAATTTTAGGGATTTCTTTTTCCTAGAAAACTCACTTCGGCAAAGTTGAGGACTAGTCTTCTTTAACTTCTTTTTTACCCTCTTCTTGACAAGAATTTGCCAACCTCTTTTAAAACTGAAAGACAACCACCAGCAGGCCCTGCGTTCTCTCACAACTGCCATCCTTCTTGTGATTCAGAATCCAGCTGTTCTCAGGCTGCATTCTCCTTTGGGGATACTTCTGACCAGAAGTGGCACCAGCCCAATGCCTGGCATTCCAGGTGTGTTCTGGACAAAGCTTCTATGACTGTTGTTTATCATTCTCTAAAAATGATTTACCTATTAATATATCCTTAATGCTGCTAGTAAGTAGCAAAGTTGTGATCAATAAAAAGGCTTTCCTGCCTTTACTTCCTAAATTTGTTACTGAAACTGGTGTCCTGTGCTTGAGTTGAGTATTAGGAAGGAGGGACAGATTTAGAAAGGAGATGAAGGCATTATGGTTGGGGAGAAGCTGGAGCCAAAAGAGAGTTAAGGGACTGAGTAGCTACCAGATAGCAAAATATACTTTAACATGACAGTGATTACAACAGTTTTATACTGGCATGGATATAGAGCTAAACAAATACAGAAACAGAGCCATGAAAATTAAGTATATGTTAAAGATTTGCTTTCCAATCAGTGGAAGAAATATGAACTATTCAATATGTGGCATTAAAAAGAATTTGCTGATCCATTGGGCTACCCACGTGAAATTGTGATTTGATGCATTCTTATCTCCTGCTGTTATGATTTAGATCTAAAATGTTCCCCCTCAGGTCTCATATGTTCTGAGGTGGCCTTTTGGAAGGTGACTGGATCATGGGGTTGCTATACTCATTAGCAGGTTAATCCATTGGTGAGTTCTAGCTGAATGTGATGTTAAGAGGCAAGGCCTGGTTGCCAGATGTTGGCCACTGGTGGTGTGACCTGAAAAGATGTATTCTTGCTGCCAATCCCCACCCCCACCTCCATGGTAGCTGCTTGCTGGCTTCCTTGGGTAGAACAGCTTCCTCTGTCATGCCCTTCTACCATGCTATTTCTGCCTTGGAACCAACCAACCAGCCATGAACTGAAACCATGCCAAATAACCCTCTTCTCCTTTATGTTATAGATATTAGGAATTTTATCCCAGGGATGGGAAAGCTGGCTAATACACCTACTATACACCCAAATTAACTTCAGATATATTAAACATCTAGATATTTTGATATATAAGTATATGTGGAAAATCTTCCTAACAAACACCTAAGATTAAAAAGTGCTGTTTAAAATGTTCTATGCAGCAGAAGGCATGAGTTCTTTGGTTTTTTCTGAGTTAAATGATACTGCCTCTGTGGCACACACAAGATGTGTGAGGGTTGTGCTATAAAATGAGAAGATATCTTCATAGGAGAAATAAATAGGTTGCATTCTGTAAATTTTATAAAAATAGGGCCAGGGATTTAGCTCAGTGGTTCCGGTGCCTGTCTCGCAAGCACAAGTTCCCGAGTTCGATCCCCAGTACCAAAAACAAAATTATAAAAATATAAAAGACTATTTTAATTCAAACTTTCCAGATTCCACATATTTCTCTATGCTATGGAGAATCTCTCTACATTTATATGTAAATGTAAGCATGATGTATATGTGCATCCCTCTCTATATAAAAATAGGTAAATATATAACAGAAGAATGTCAGAGACCTGCAAGGCATCTGACTCATTACACATTTACATATAATACCTAGTTTCTCTAAACCCTGCCCATATATTTCTTGAAGGAAATCTATCCTCTAGCTGAATGCAGCTGCTAGAATCTGGGAGAAGTCATGGAGGCAGAGAAAACAAGTCATTCAATACCTGGGGAGGCAGGTTTTCCAGGAGGAGTGGGAGGAAGAACTCAGGGGCTTTGAAGTATTATTGCATGAATAAGTGGTGGAATTAACCAGTGGGTGAAGAGCCAGTAGTTGAGGGCACTTTATGCTTCTGGCCTTGATGTCGGTGGGCAAGACCTTATCACAAGGCACTGACATCACAGAAGACACCGACATCACAGGCTCCATTCTGCAATCACACAACAAGGTGGACATTTGGCTCCATTTATTGTGTAATTTGCTTTTCTCTCTATCTGTCACCTTGGACAGTGTAGACAATTCTAGTTGTAACTCTGGGAGCAATCAGATGCCTCAAATTGAAAATGACTCTTATTTCAAAGTCAGAGACAATCACTAATGAAATTTATAAACTGAACAAGAAACCATGGGATACAATCAGATGTGTAGCCTTGTCTCCTGGTGTCCCTTCATAACCCTGCCCATGGACTAAAACTCTCCTAATTTAGTTTGGTTGCTCCTAGGTAAAAGAAAGCTCTTCAGTTACTTTGTGACACGTATGTAAATATACTGCACTTTCCATCACAGGAAATGTCCAGTCCCATTAACTTCAAATGAGTTAATGTTAAATCCTGCCTCTCCCACCTGGGGCTCACTGAGAGCTGCTTGGTTGCTGGGGTGTAGCTTGAGGAGAGGGTCTAGGCAAGGAGAAGGAAGAGGGAAAAGGAGTTCTGGAAAGTTCTTGCTCAGTGGTTACCAGTCTAAGGTGGCTCACCCTCTCTGGACCTATGGATACTTAAAACTGACTCTTCCATCAGCCATATTGGGGTTATTTGGGGACCTTCTTGTTGTGATTCTCAGACAGTAATTCCTACAGTATGGCCAATTTCTTTTCATCACCTGGCTGCTCCATGTTTAGAACTTCTCTTACCTTCTTAAGAAAATTGGTTTAGGCTACATAGAATATCCCCACAGGTCTGGTCCTTCTACAAGGTGGCCACCACTTTCTTTTGAGTGGATTTAGGATAGCTCCTTTTCCTGTGGAATCGTCTTCTGTTCTATAAGGAATGTTTATACATTCTCCTCCCAAACTAGCAATCCCAAGCCAGCAACTGTTCTTTACAAAATGGCTGCCAACTCACTAGCAACTAAACTTCTAGATTTCTTGGGCAGCTCAACTTCCAGATTTTGTACTCCCAGCCACCAAGTACACTTTTTTTTGGTACAGGGGATCAAACTCGGGACCTTGTACTTTCGAGGCAGGCGGCAGAACCACTGAGCTAAATCCCAGGCCCAAGTACACTTTTAAAGTTCTCCAAAGATACTTTTACTACTCTACTCCTTCCCTCTCATCCCCTTCATTTTTTCTCCTTCCCTCCTTCCCTTCCTTCCTTCGTTGATACCTGGTCACTAGGAATAGCCCTTAGGTACAGAACCCAAGACTTGTGAAACCAATTTTCAGCTATTTCCTTTGAAAAATGGATACTCAATTGTCTGTCTCATAAGTAATTTCAGTATTTGATACCTTTCTTAGTTCCTCATTTGAATATTTTAATTTAATAATTTTTCTATTAGTTGATTGCTTTTCATCTCGAGTTTTTGGCTCTGCATGCATGATTTCCCACAAGGAAAACTTCTTAATCTTCATATGGATGCATAAAAAACTACAGTATGAGGCTTCTCAAAATGTTCATTGTTTCATTTGCTTTTTATGGAAACCAGTCTCCCGCCTTCTGAGACTCATGCTTTTGTATCCTGCCGTGGGATTCAGTTTATCATCTCAGGGTTGGCCCATGTGACCAGTAGGACACAGAGAAGTGACGGAGTATGTCTTCCAAGAGTAGCTTATAAACTTCTTTGGCTTCTATCTTGCTTGCTCTCTTCCTCAAGGAGCTGGGTACTCTGGGGAAGCCAAGCTTCGAGTGGATCCTTAGAGAGTGCCAAGTGGGAAGAACTGAGGCCTACTGCCAGCAGCTCTGCCAGGGATCCTGGAAGTGGATCCTCTAGCCCAGCTCAGTTTTCAGGGGTTGAAGCCCCTGCTGACACCTAATTGCAGCTTAGTGAGAGACCTCAAACCAGAGCTGCGCCACTAACCTATTCCCAGGTTCCTGACCCCAGAAACCACGTGAAATATCACTTTTGTGGTTTTCAGCAGCTAAATTTTGGCATCATTTCTATAGCAATATTATTTCTATGGCAATATATCACTACTAAACTGTCTAAAGAGTTGGACTAAAAGTTTTCTACATTTCCAAAACATTTTCCCCTAGATTTTTTGCAACTAATGACATACCTGAAGCCCTCTTTTGTATTCTAAAGTCCATTATGAAAATAAAGTACAAACATAGTAACTTCATTTTTTAAAAAAAATACTTATTATAGAATTTTCTTTAAAATAGGAGAAGACTAATCAATGTAATGACAATCCATGAAATTCAACTTCTAGGCCATTTTTTTAGGAATACATATCATTTAAATTAGACATATTTGTAAAATTGAAGGGGTCAAATCCAAATGGGGCTCTGAAAGGCCATATGAATTTTCAAGCTTGATCTACACAGCTCTGTTCCCAGCCCTTGCAGGTTGGTCACATCCATTGATATTTTTTTTTTTTTTAGCAATCTCTAAAAAACGAAAAGTGAAATGTGTTGTGTACATGCACCAGTTCCTTACAGTGAATGTAATCATTATGCACTACAAATATGTACTAATAAACATTTTTTTAAAAAAAGGAAATCGACATGGTTGGGGGACCTACTGGGAAAAGCAGCAGCATTTTATTATTTTTACAGCCAGAAAGTTTGTAACAGGGAACTAAATGATTCACATTCAACATGTTCTCTTTCTGTTTTGTTTAATTTGCACTCTGTTCTGAGAATGGGATGAATGACCATGTAACATCTGGAGAGATCAGAGGAAGAGGCTTTTAAGAGACTGCAACTAACATGGGGAAAAAGAAGGATACCTAGACCTCATCCAACAGAAGTAAGTACACCAGTACCAACTTTTGCTCCTGAACACAAGGGCATGAAAACTTGTTAATGTAATTGACTTTCTATGGTTATAAACACATTTCATAGTTTATCACTACTGAAGCAGCTAAAAATATAAGTCCCGAAATAATGTGTAGGCTAAGGGCTGAATTTATAATATTTTAATACTTCCATACCAAAGAGACAAATTACATTTGGTGCTGTGTGGATGGGCCCACCTAGGCTCATCACACCATAAGGCACGTCCCAGAGCATTCTTGGGGTAGGTGGAGGAAATACACATGAGCTTTCTCTTGTCACCTTATCCTCTTTCTCTGCAGTGGCATCTGAGTGCAGATGCTATGTTTGTAATGCTGAAGAGTCATCTTGTCAAAGGCTTGGTGTCTCTCCCCACCTACTCACTGGGAGCTCAGGTAAGGGCTGCCTCTGCCTCCATTACAGGGCCGAAATTCCATGCAGTGAACACTTGAGTCTGCGTCAGGGCTCTGCTGGAATCCCATTCCCATTTTATAGCCAGGCTCACCGTATCTCTGAAACAACCCATTCTGAAATGGTCTACTCAGTCACCTCACTGGCACTCAGGTGTAGTTGACCAAAGCACACTTAGGCAGACTTGGCTAGTTAGGTTCAGGAGTTTTGGGTTCCATGATGATTTTCCATGTTTCTCAAAATGAGATTTTCAATTAAAAAGGATGATTTGAGACTATATATGAAATATAAAATCCATATTTTTAAAGCCATATGACCATATACACTAAATAGCTCAATTGAATACAGATTAGTAAAGGTATATTTTTTACCATTAAGTGTGAATTGAATTTAAATGGATGGGTTCTAGGTTCTGGATCTATATTCCAGTCTTTTCTTGGAAGTGTAGCCTCAGAGCTCCTCTCTGGTCAGGCTCATTCCAGGGATTGTCATGACACTGAGGCAGGGATTCTGAGCATATCATGGTCAGAGCCTGGACAGGGGTGAGGGAACTCCAGAGGAAGCAAAAACAATTTTCCCTATGTGGTATTTTGTCTGTAGCAAATAAATAATTATATGCACTGGATGAATTGTTTAGGAAATAAACTTCCCTACATTTTTCAGTCTCCTAAAATTGGAAGAGAAAAGAGCTTATTTTTACATGTCTAAAAATAGAACTATTTCATCATATAGAAGCGAAGGATAAATTACATAAAATAATCATAATCTCAAAATATTATTTGTATATCTTTCATTTCTATGACACCATCATTTTAGGAATATACCTCCATAGTAGTTGTTTTATGTGTTATTTGCTGGGAATACACACAGTGTCTGGGAATTGTAGAACAACAGTAAATATTTGTTGAGGAACTAATCGATGGAATATATTAATTTCTTATACTTGTAACTGAAAATATCTGATGCATTTACATGGATGAGAGGCTGTTGCCCCCCTTGTATTCAGTAATGTCATATGGCTGCTTTTGTTTCTCCAAATCTAGTGATGGATGTAGCCTGACTTCTCTTATTTTATACATAACCTCTGGGTGACCCTTAATGAGGCTTTACCTATCTGGTTCTTTATCTTGTCAGAATTCCTTGCATGGCTGTCATTCCTATCTATTTTGACTCACAGTTGGGTCAATTGACAGACAAGGTATTTAACCCCTGAAACCAGTCTCTTCAGAGTCTTAATCATCTGACTTTGCTGGCTCTGATTGACTTCCAGTTCTGTGTACAAGTTTTTCTAACATTATCTCAACCTCAGCAGCCCAAGGGAGAGTTTCCTAAAGTCAACTGGGAGATGCTGCGTCCTCCACCCTAATGAAGAACCCATGTTTTTGCACGTGGACACGTTGATACATTGAGTTGAGCAAAACAAGTTTAAAGGGCAGTAACCTCTGCTGCTGGTTGCCTGTTTGGTCCAAGATTCTTTTCATTTGCAAACAGCACCCACCCTTTCAGCAGTGCTTAGAGAGAATTAGGGGAAAGAATGGAAAGCCCACGAATTCCCATTTAATTGCCCCAGCATGTAACTTGAAGCCAGGCCCAGCATATCAGTGTGAGGAAAACACCTGAATGGCAGAAATGTCAAAGAGAAAGCAGGTCCCCAGTGGCATTTTATCAACAAGTTGGAACTAAGCCAGCAGCCCCAAAGCCCTGCAGGCTGCCTGG